ATGGTGGCTGGGTCACCCAGGAAGTGTCCTGAGAGAAAGCCAGTGAGAGCCGTGTCCTCCGACGACCCAGCCTGAGAAGTCGCATGGCTTCACTGCATCCCTTCTCCACTGGGCAGAGCAGGCAGAGCCCCACCCGATTCAGGAGGGGATGTACAGCCCACCTCTCCGTGAGAGGAGCGGCCATGGGGGCTAGGACGGATCTATCAGCGTGATCATCTTTGGAAAATACAATCTGCCTCAGGAGGGAAAGTCTCCAAGTATGGGAAGGGTGTGCTGGCGGTGCTAGTGGACGACAAGCTTGACAGAAGCCCCTCCGCCATCCCATTCAGGTTGGCAGCGCCTGCCTGACACTCCTGTCCCACTGCCCCTCTGTCTATCCTGGCCCTCCTCTCCTTCCTCTCTCCTTCCTCTCTCTTTTCTCTCCCCTTCCCTCTGCCCTTCACCCCTGCAGAAGCCTGTGGTGCCATGAGAACAGCCCTGGAGGAAGCACCACGACGGGGGCCAGGCTCCCTCTCCCACGGCCTCCTGTGTGACTCTGGGCAAGATACCGACTTCTGGGACCTCAGATGTCTGGGCTGTAAAATGAAAGACTGGGCATCCATTCAACCACATAACAAAAATGTGTGTGTGTCCATCATGTGTCTTGAACAAATGCAGAGGAGAGCCTGGTTCCTCGACGTCTCCTAGAGCGATTTTCTCTGGAGCTGTTAGGGCATGATAAAGACGTCCTCCCTGGAACCGGAGCTCCAGGAGGGAAGGGGGTTCTTCACTGCTGTCTCCACAGGGACTGCAGGCAGCAGGTGCTCCTGTACAACGATGTAAGCACCGTCTAGAGACAAAGCTGTCTGGGGGCAAGTCCTGGCTCCGCTGCTACTCACTGCATTATTCTGGGCCAGTAACTCAGTTTCCCTGTGCTTCAGTTTACTCATCTGTAAAGCAGGGATAAGCACAGTACCTGCTTAATAGAGTGGTCATGACTAATTAATGAGTTAAGATATACAGAAAGTGCTTGGGGCGGTGCATGAGATATGCTAAGTGACACCTAAGTGCCAGCCTGGATGATGGGAGGTGAGTGGCATAAGAGATCATGTGACCTGGTAACGTCACAGATCCATGCTGCGCTGCCGTGCAGTGAATTCTTTTAGCAGGAAATGGTTTTGAATTTTAACAGTGATCTTAACACCTTAGTTAAGAGAATAAACAACACGTACAAATTCAGGGCAGGTGCTTTGAGGTGGTGCGGTTGTGTCTTGGTGACTTTAGGAGATTGGGACCAGCTGGAAGAATGGGAGGCAGTGCGCGGAGGCAGAGAAGAAATGCGCACACTTCTTGTCTCTTGTCTCTCGTGACAACGGCAGCTGGAGACAGCCGCACCCAGACCGTCCATTACCTGCTCAGGAAAGAGTCATCGGCAGGTGCGACTTAATCTCAGATGATGGGGCTCGGGTGTTAACAAACTTCCCTTCCTTTCAGCTAGAGCAACCATTTCCCATGCCTACCTCGTCACTACTTGAGAAGGTAGAGGGAGCTACAGACCCAAGGTTGTCCTTAGAGATTATTTTATTTAACTAAATGCATATAATTCAACTGTCCCAATATTGTAAACTTAATCTTCAATAAGATGACTGTTTAAACTTCGGTAACAATCTTTTTCATTATTACTGTAATACATTTCTTTTCAAAATATTTTAAAATCAAATAAAAGAGAACAATTATAACAGCAAAATGTAACCTCTACACACTGCTGGGTTGGGTAAGTATCCCTTCATTCCTCTGGTGAGGTGGAACTTTCCAAAATCTTCTGGGATAGGAGAAGGAGGGGCATTTGCAAACCACATGGGCCCTCCTGTGGTGGTCTTACTGTCCTGAAGCAAACGTTTGGATCCATAGACTGGGAAGGATGGGGCAGGGGTAAGTAGAGAATACCTATCTGTGATACCATGATAATTGTTATTATTCAAAATTGCCCCTCCTGGCCTTGTTTCCTCTGCATAGCTTCACGTAGTTGTAGCTACGGTGTGGAAATAACTTTGTACTTTCCCTTTTCACCTAAAGTTATTATGTAGATCATAAATATTCCCACATTGCTATATACTCTTCGTGACTACAATGCTATTGCTGCATAATATACTCTCAAGTAGATCAGATGTAATTGACTAACACCCCCCTCGTGTAAATTTAGGTTGTTCCCAAGTTTTAGCTAAAGTTTGGCTTTAGCCTTTCCAAGATCCTCTAGGTGTGACGGGTAACAAGTGAGGCCACTACCGCCTCTGTCAGCCGGTTCTGGTTTGGCCTCTTGTCCTAGAACCTGCATTAATTGTGACACTTTGACCTTCAAAAAATATCTACAACCAGGTAAGTTATGTGATCACCCCAGCAATAATGTGATTCAGAAACAAAGGCCTCACAGCTGCCTGAGGTTTTGGCTAAACCATTCCCAAACCATAGCTAATGACAACCCCATTTCGGGTAGGATTGGAGGCCATCACTGCTACAAAGAGTTTCCCCGAGGCCTCACTCAAGGTCGGTTGGTTCTGAGACCTTGACAATTACACCGGGAGGAAGCTCTCTCACCTCCTGGACTGATCCCACACCTGGGTCCGAGACCCGCAGTGCAGCACCCCTGCACAGCAGCCATCCAACTGTGAGCACAGAGCCTGGTGGGGCAGAGGGTCCGAGCGGGTGTGGGTCCCAGCTGAGACTCAGTTTCTTCACCAATAAAATGGGTCAGATAAAACCTGAGAGGGCTTCTGTGGAAGTTAAATAAAACATATAACATCTGCCTACCCTCCTTCAACGTCAGCTTTCGACCTTTTTATACTCCCTAGTCCCTTATGTTAAACAAACTCACCCTATCTTAAAAAACTGTGCTGGATGGAATGGAGTTACCAGACAAACCAAAACAAAACAAAACATGAGACCAGGCCGAATAGCCCTTCAGGCTGTTGCAGCTGAGATTCCATCACCAGCCACTGGTCTCACCCAGCCACCGCCTTCATTCCACCCACTTGAAAACGAAGGGGCCCCAGGCCTCCACAGACGCACCTGTCAGTCTCGTCACCTCTCTGGGTGCTCCAGGAGTATAGGTATCCCCTGCTTATTCACCACTGCTGTCCTGTCAGACAACCCCAAGACACCGAACCCCAGACCCTTGGGGCCGTAAGGGTCTCCACGGTGGGCCTGAAGAGTTATTTTTCACGGTGAAAATTTCTAATAATTTGGGAAAGGTAAAAATGTTCAAAGATGTTAAGAATAAAGTCATTGTGGTGGCCCTGGAAATGAACAGGTTTTCCTGACTAACTTAGATGTTCCCAGTTAAAAGTCAAACCATGAACAGCAGCAGTGAAGTCTAGAATCCTAAGCCATTCCGGTTTATGGGGTAATTTTTCCTCTATTTCAGCGATCATCACCATGTTTCACCATTGCGCAGCTCGGACACACACACACACACACACACACACGCACACACACACACGCCTGGCAGGAGTCAGGATGCTCCTGCAAACATGGAAGCTTCGCGGGTCCCCGGGTTCTTCCAGCTTCTGGGGATCTGGACCTGGGTTTTGCTTGAAATTAACCAGATTAAAATAAGAGTTTCGATGGGTTAAAGGAAGAAAGGGAGGACAGGGACGGAGAGCATCCAGGTGGAAGGCGGACCCCGTCCCCTTCCGCGGGCGGTCCCGGAGAGTCAGCCGCGGTACCGGCACTCGGCTACAGAGGGGGCGCCCCTGCTCCCCAGGGCACCGCCGACGCCGGGTTGATGTGTTTCTCTGAGCCTTTTGGAAATGAGCCACGAGGCAGTGCTCGGCTGGCCCCTCTCCCAAGACCCCTCTTCGGAACGCAGAGACCCCAGCGTGGCGGGCGGGAGGGAAGGGGGGTCGAGGAGGAGGACAATTGGCTGAACAAAAGTCACGACTCGAGGGGGCTATTCTTTAGAGGTTTACGGCGGGCACGCTTCCCGCAGCCTACCCCCGCGGCCCCAATTCTTTGATCGGTCCTTAAGAAAGCGTCCCCGCCGCTTGTCCCCGGCCCTAGCTGGCCCAAAACTGCTCTGCGGGAACACCGGGCTCCATCTGATGCGAAGGAATCAATACACAGGTTGCTTTCCACCCTTGTCCTCCGGCTTGTTCTAATGAGGTTAAGTGGGGTCTGAGGCTCGGGCCGGGATCGGGGCAGAAGACCCAGTGCCTCCGAGAGCCCCCGAGCGCGCGCAGGCTCACCCCTTCCCCGCCGCCTCCCGGCCGCCTGGGCTCGGGGCTGGCGGGCCCGGCACGCGGCTCCCCCGCAGCCCCGGCGCCCGCGAGCCCCGCGCGCTCCTCTGTCTCCCCCCAGCGGCCGTGCGCGTGTCGCCGCGAGAGCGGGCGGCGGGGGCGGCTCGGCGCAGGCAGGCCCGCGGCTCCGCCCCGCGCCCCCCCTCCCAGCCGGCAGTGCCGCCCCCTCCGCGCCGCGCGCGGCTCAGACGGAGCAGCCGCCTCTGCAATGTCAGCAGCCGCAGCGGCGGCGGCGACGCGAGCGGCAGCGGCCGGGGCCCCGCGGTAGCCGCCAGCGCGGCACGGCCCGGCAGACGCGTCAGGCGCGAGCCCGCGGCCACCTCGCTGCCTCCGGGGCGCTGCGGGCGGCTCTGCGCGCCCCGGCGCGGCGCTCGGACTCGGGGCCAGCGCGGCCACCGGCGCGCACAAAGGACAGCGGACACCGGCATTCCGGGGACTGTGCCCAGGGACCGGCCCGAGGACGGCCAGCCGCGCTGCGGCTCCTCCACTCCTGCCCTGCCTGAGCGGCGGGAGCCGGAGCCGGAGCGGGCCCCGTCATATGACAGCGGCGACACAGCAGCCGGCGAGCGCGAGTGCTACCCGCTCCGCTGCGCCACGGCCGCCGGAGCTCGGGGTGGCCAGCGCCGCGCCCCGCTGAGTGGTCGCCAGTCGCCGCCGGCCCGTGTCCCCCGGGCTCGCGGGCTCCGGGGGAGAAGCCGGGGGTAGCCCCCCGCAGGCACCGAGCCTAAAATGGCCACGCTGCTCCGCAAGATCGGGCTCATCCGCCTGCACAACCGGGACACCGAGGACCCCAAGCACCACCACAACCACCGCGGCGGCGGCGGCCAGCAGAGCGCGTCGCTGCGCGGCAAGGGCGGCGCCAAGAGCGGCGGCCACAAGCAGCAGCAGCAGCAGCAGCAGCACCCCGGGGGCGCGGGCGACTCGAGCCCGGGGCCCGGCAAGGGCAAGGGCAAGCGCGCGGCGGAGCTGGCCCCGCGCGAC